CTTAAAGTTGCATTGTGATTAAATGAAATCATGATCTCAATTCATTCCAACTGCTTAAAAAAGTTTTTTGTATTCGTTCTGAATAGCTTCTACACGTGGAAGGCGATAAAATCCTATTGGTTTCCCATTTGCGTTTTTAGAATGTCTTTTCATTTTAAAATCTAGGATAGCTAAAGCTAATAATTTAAACTTTTTTCTGAATAAAAAACACAAAAAGAACAGGTTTAAGATACAATAAAAAGGTTTAAACAAAGCTACCATTTTTATTTTTTCCCCTACAAATAGACCCAGGTTTCTTACTTAAATTTGGCTAATAATCTTGAACTTTTTTTTCGTAAATGGAAATCATTTTGGTCTTAACACCTCCTCCCCATTGTCAATTTGTCACCCCCTCCTCATTGTCGCCCCTAGTAACGCGCACACTTTTAGAAATTATTGAATTAGGTTTATTTTATTAGAAATATGCTTAAGCTTAAGCATATTTTTGAGCCTCATTTTACTTTTTGCTTAAGCATTTTCGAATCTGTTTCAAAAATTTCATGTTTAAAAAAACAAAACATGTATATTTCTCCCCATCATTCTTACTTTTACTATACGTAATGAATTCAAAAAACATCATTATATTATGGCGCGTTTCGTAAATTTGTTTCCGTTAAGTACTTTTCGTATGTTGCGATGCAAAATACTTTCGTTTCGAAAGAAAATTTGTTTTTTATCAATATTTCTAAAAATAAAACAATAAAAATTTAATATGTTCTTATACTGAAAATAAAAATTCATTATAAAAATTTTGGGATTTAAAAAATGTTAATTTTTACAATTAAAATCAGTCTTGCAAACAAATTTTCTTTATAAATTTCAAAACGTCGTTTGGCGAAAATGCTTGTTTCGCAAGTGCGACTTCCGAAACCGCTATTTTCGTATGTTGCAAAATAGTTTTATTTCGTATGTCAACTAAATTTCGGAAGTAGCATTTGCGAAATAAATATTGACGATTTTAAATGTTTTGTAATATTCGGTACGAAAAAATGTAATTCCTCGTTCTCAATCTCCTTACGAAAGAATGTTGTTTTTCCGGAATTGCACGAAATCCTCCAGTTACTAACCCTATTGTAAACACGATTAGCACAGATCCTTATAATACTTACCTAGTTGTCCCAAGAACGCCAATTATACGGAAAGTTAGTGTACACATCAAGGTACCCTGTGATACAAATTTTGAAATTATTAAATTTTTTCAGCGGAAAATAATTTAATTTAAATGTTTAAATTAAGTCAAATTTTGGCTTCATAGAGCGCCAGTAAAAACACTTGTAGAATATGAACCACGCAATATAATTTAATAAAACTTGATGGAAATGTAGCCAATAGTCACACCAAACTCTGGATAAAATTTCAGCCTGATTGGATGACTGGTGTAGGAATTATTGCAGTTTTAGTTGAAGTTTTATCAGTTTTTTGCTACTTATACCTCAAAGCATTACTGATTACATTGAAATTCGGTCACTATTTTTAAAATAACGGTTGCATGAGTGTTCTGCTATGTAATACGAACAGTTTTTGTACTAATTATTTTATGGGTAAATTTACAGTTTTCATATTATAGGCCGAAATAGTGATTTATTACTTAAAGCGTGATTTGATTTGGCTTATGCCAATGGCGTTGACACGGCCTTCAAAGTGGAGGGGATCAACCCCTCAATTTCTAAAATAAAATCCATAATTTCTAAAATAATTGCCTATATTTCTAAAACAAAAGGTCGCCGCAAAAAAAAAAGTGGACTGGTCATGGCTACCTTGACGGCTATGCAACGTGAATATACCAACATTTCCTAAGGTATAAACTACTGCCAGAATGCAAAAAAATTAAAAAAAAATGTTTAAAAAGGATTTCTAGGGATACCTACATAGAAAACAAAAATATTTATTTATCTGAAAACAGAACAACTGTGAAAAAACCAAATAGTTTTTATAATGACTAACACAATTGGCATAAAAAAATTAGATAAGTTAACGAAGATATCTGACCAATACAAAGTTTGGAGGGCCAGTCGGAGGAAAAATACTCTAACTGAATAATTAATTAGGTTGAAGGATTGTTTTGAAATAAAACAACACGTGTGACAAGAATCATTAGTTTAATATGTATGACAATTATCAATAATGTTATTTCCTTTCAAGTAAATAGTTTGAACATTTGTTTCCTGGTAAGGAAAGAACTATTCAAGAATTATTTCCTTGTAATTTAATATTATCTCAATTAAATCAAACAACTATTTTCTATATTTTGATAGTTTTTAATTATTAATATGTGTTACTATGTTAAGCGGATTGTTATCAAATATAAATTTAGGTCAAATTTTGTAAAAAGCAGAGTTTGATTTAGTGAAGTCAAATTTAGTGTATTGCCACGATGCCAAATCAAGCAAAGAATCATGATAAAAATCAAAAGCTTGTGTGCTTGCTCTGTCTGAAAAAATGTTTAAACCAGCTTACTACTTTTCAAGCAAATCAAATATGCCAACTGTACAAGACCAAAAATCAATATCAGTGATACTCGGGTAACAAAATTAGATTCTGCGAATCGTGTAGAATTACTTTGTGCAGGAAACAAGGCGGAGAAGAAGTTGCACTCCCTCCTTTGTTTGATTTTAAGTCAATACATTTGAGACCTTAAAAAAGAGGCACAATGTGTTGTTGCCTAATATGCCGAATTGGTCGTTCAAGCTGCAAGAAAAATATCTTCTTATAGAGCAAACCACTATTGAGAAAAAAACAAAAATGCGTTGCAGCAAATGCCTCAGCCCTTTAGGAAAAGGTTTGCCCCACCAATACTCTCAAATAATGTTAAGGGAAAATATTGAATCTTTAGCAGCAAAAGATTGCCAAACCATCCGAACAAATCGCATCTCGAGATATTTCCAATAAAGAATTATCTACGGAAGGAACTATTCTACTGGCTAAAGCATCCGGCGGGCCTCCACTTACAGTTACCCCTGGTAAATATTTATACTTAAATAGTTTCAACATATATATTGAAATAAAGTCTTGACTATTAAGAAATAACACCAGATAGATTTCAATAAGTATATTTTTGACAAGTTTCTAATTTCTTTAAAAACGAATAATTTGAAAGTGTTACACAAACTTACTAAACAAAGTTTATTGTAATTATAAAATATGTATATTTTGGTTTTAGGTCAAAGTAGTGTGCAGACACCAACAACTGCTCCGAAATTGACCACTGTAGCTCTTGTAAATGTGCAATTAAATACGGGCCTGTCAAACAACAGATTAAAGAAACTTGTTAGAACTATAAATAAAATATTAAGCAGCAAGATGGTAGAGCGAAATTTCTACATGAATTTTCTAAGACTAGGTCAACAATTGAGCAATTTCTTCACCTGCAGCGACTTAAAAATCACAGACGAAAAATCAAATTTTTGTACAGTTGATGTTGTTGCTTATTGCAATGATTTATCAAGTCTTGTGAATCATGTTATTTAGTTCCGAAAAATTTCTGTTGCTTTTTTATTAAGCTCGAAATTGATGGTGGCAAAGGTTTTCTCAAATTTTGCCTAAGCATTGTTTATTCTGCGTTAAGGGATGAAACCAGCTCACCGCACCAACAAAAACCTCTCACTCAAAAGACACTGGAGTCACTGAAGAGACACTGAAAATTTGACTTAATCTAAACATTTAATTAAAAGGATTTTCCGCGGACAAAATTATATGATTTCAAAATTTTCATCACAGGGTACCTTGATGTGTACGCTAACTTTCCGTATAAGTGGCGTTCTTGGGACAGCTAGGTAGGCATTAAAAGGATCCATGCTAACCGTGTAAATGCAATTATGGGTCATCAGTAAAGCGCGTCACCCTATATTTATCAATTCTTAACCCCTAACATCCTGTCACAAGCGATCAAGTATACCTGAACCCCTTTTCCTCCTAAATTGTAATAGCAGTTTGTTTTTTTTGTCAAAAAAATTTTAATAGAATTAAATATAAATAGTTTGATTTAATTTAAAAATTCAACCTAATGAAAATAAGGAAATGCGCATAAACGTAAAAAGTGTAAGAAAAAAAAACGTCGACAAACTAAAAATTTTCTTATTTTAAACAACTCAAATAAGTATTAATAAAGTTGTAACACTAAAATAATTTTTTAAAGTTGCTTTTAGTCTTGCAGAAAAACTATTTTCGATTAGTTAAATATAATAAATGTTATAAAAATTCAATCAGGAATAGCGCCGCGATTTTGTAAAAATTTTCTTTTGGTTATTTATTTTCATAAATGAGTTCAATACGTATGCAATTGTTTTGCTAGGTAACTCTAACTCTTAATAATAAATATTGAAAAAACAACGATAAATATCGCTCGGTAAAATATATAGTATAAAAAAAACAAGTTTATTTTCCTTAGCCGGTAACCTCAAATAAAATTTTATATATTTCTTAACTTGGCAGAGATTTTTTTTACGTCTTGTAAAAAATTCTAAAACAAAACGCTTTACTGGTTTGCAGAAATCTGCTCTAAAAGTTAAAGCAATTTTTTACCTTGTTTTCTAAGTAGCGGAAGTTTAGTGGCATTTTCAGTAATAAGTTCGCCCTCTTTTGGTCAGGCTCAAAAATTTTTACCTTATTTTATTTTTTAGAGTAATAGCTTTTATATAAAACAGCTTCAAGTTTAGTTTACAAATATTTGATAAATTTGTTGTGTACGCAAGTGCAACGTAAGTTAAAAATGAAATTGCCCATTTATATATATATATAAAAAAAAAAAAAAAATATATATATATATATATATATATATATATATATATATATATATATATATATATATATATATATATATATATATATATATATATATATATACACACATATATATCTGTATGTGTTTTACTCTGAGTGTTTATGTGTGTATACGTTTGTGTACACTTCTCTGGTTATTTATAGACAACAATTTTAAAATAAGACTTAAAATTTTTGTTTAGATTTTATTATCCATAAAAAGCAGTTTGTTTTAAATCAAGGTTTAATTCTTGGAACACTCGATGTTTTAAGGAAGGAACACACTATCATTTTTAAGGTTTATCCTAAAAGTTACTCTAAAGGCTGGAAGAGTGTTTTTCATTTAACCCAGGGTAAAGATTACGGAGCTTATGGTGACAGAATTCCAGGTGTTTGGTTTCATGATGACGGCTCCGGAAAACTTTCAATTTTTACTGCAGTTAACGGTAACAATAACTATTACGTTGCAACAGCTCCGCTTCCATTAAATCAATGGTCCAGTGTTAAAATATGTCAAAGTGTACATAACGGGAAGTATTGGTATTCTGTTGATCTTAATGGAATCAACATTCATAGAGTTGAAAATTCTGACGCCAGAGATTTTCAAAACATAATAGTATACGCCTCTGACCCTTGGTATGCTGCTCAAAACGCTCTAATTTCTAATATTATCATTGTCAATGGTAACATTGGTAAAAATGATTTTAACAAATGTTTTTATTGTCTCTTATTTAAATTTTAAATTTTATTCAAATTTTTGTTAATGTCCTTCTAATAAAGTACTTCTTGTTTAACTCCATTATTGAAAATGTTTGTAATTAAAGAAAATAAAAATCAATTAACTCAAGTCTAAATTTATGTGCATTGTGGTATTAGGTTGAATACATTTAATTTTGTAGAAACTATTATTGGCAGCGTACCTGCAAATTTAGTCAAAGGAAAACTTATTGCAGAAATACCCAAGTTAGATAAGGAATATTTGGTTTCGTTTGATATCTATCCTAATAAGTTTGTTGCTGGTTGGCATAGTGTTATTCATTTCTCTATTGGTTCTGATTATGGTCGTTATGGCGATCGAACTCCTGGTATCTGGTTTCACACTGACGGAAAAGGAGGTCTCTACATTTCAGCGCCAATTAATGGTAATGTCGACAGAGTTTTTACCACAAATCCGATTGGATTAAATCATTGGTCTAGTGTTGAAGTTAGTCAATTTTTAAGAAACTCAGTTTACATATACACAATCAGAATAAATGAAGAAATTGTCTTTTCTGAAATAAATAACCTGGCTCAAAGTTTTGATAATGTTAAAGTATATGCATCAGATCCTTGGTATGATGCTCAATATGGCTCAATAAGAAATTTATTTGTTGTCAATGGTGTTTCCAGTATGTTTTAAGTTATCAATTTTAAGTTTTCAATGTTTTTTTGTTGTTTTTTTCTTTTGAGAGGTTGCTGGTTTCTATATTCAAAAAAAAATTGTTTCACTTTTTTTAGATAATGGACTCCAGGCAGTTATTGTTTTACCTACAGGTATATAAAATATTATTTGATATTTTTTATATCATTTTTTAATGCATTGATGCTATGTTTATCATAGTGTTTTAATTTATCTTTGTTAAAAGATGAAAAAAGTGGTTAATGAGTGATACATATGAGACATATATTTATGTCTCATATGTATCACTCAGTGGTTAATGAGTGATACATATGATACATATGAGACATATATTGTTTCCTTTTACAATTGAACCCTTTACCACTCACTATGTCTTAGGATTGAGTATAAAGTTATGTTTTTGGCACAAGTTCATGATTTATGATACTGATTTCAAATCTATTTATGCTGACGTCAGCAGTTTTGTAAATACTGATGGTAACCATATGGTTACTCTGAACATTTACGGAATAAAAGTAAATAATATAAATAAACTTCCTTTAAATAAAACTACAAAGTTATAGAACGAATAACAAAAAAAAAAGTTGTTTATAAATATTCTAAATGTCACCTTTTAGTAGCATACCAGTTTTAAGAGTTAGGTAGGTATACTGCCATCCCCTCTAATCGCACTAGATTTTATTTTACGATTTAGCATGAGACTTCATTTATTATGAAAAGTATAAAAACAATTTTTTGCGTTGCTTAAACACAGACATAAGTTGCTTTTTTTGCAGAAAACTCTCCCTTTGCCACCTTTACATGAAGATCCAGAATGTACAAAGTTTTTAAATCCCCGTTTTACAGGTTTTTTTGGGTTGTACTGGTGAATACCGCTATATTTGGTTTTTGCATGAATAATTTATTCGTCAATTGAGTGTTCAATTTCGGGTTCAACTAAAATACAGTTTCTACGAACATGATCAATACTGGGTAAATTTTAAAAAGCTTATTTGCTTTATTTTCTGGTTTATCTTGTTGAGAGTTGTCACTAACATGCAAATTTTCTCGCAGTAATTTGTAGCGGTTGATGGACATAACATCTGCTATTGGTTTGTTTGCTCCGAAATTAATTTATTTAGCTCATTTTTCCAAAACATTTTAAAGTAAGTATATGGGGTTTAAGTATCAAAATTTTCTGGAGGTAAACTAAATTCTTGTCCTAAAAAGTCTGCATTGATAACAGGAGGAGTTTTATTTTCCCATTGAGGGATATACTTTTCAAACATTGTCGAGTCTTTACAGAATTCAACTTTTTTTTTGTTTGTAGTATTTTTATTTTTTTCTGAATCATTATCTTCCCCCATAAGATCTATGTCAGAACCAACATCACCGGATGGTTGCAGAGCTGCTTCTTCTTCATCAAGTTCGTCTAAGTCTGACATCTCGGAATCAGAATATGGAGCAAGCAATATTTCTAATGCTTCTTTTATCGTATACAACTTTTTATTCATTTTAGCTATGTTTATATATTAAAAAACATTATACAGGCATATCAATGAATATAAACACAAATATTTTGAGTGCATTTTTCCATAATTAAAGTAATAAAACAAAAAAACATTGCCTTATTTCACTTGCAGTAATTATTATGAAAAAATGTAAACATGTTCAATTATATACTCTAATTGTTCGGAGTAACCATATGGTTACCACCTACTTTAGACATGTACCAAGATGTACATGATGCTTCCACATGTACATCTTGGTAATAAAAATACAAAAAAATTAGCGAGTAAACATTTGTAAGATGTGATAAAGATTGTTACAAGAAGAGTTACTTTTTAAATCAAAATCAACTTTTTAGTTTCAATTGTACATAACTTTAAATATGCGGAAATGATAATATGGCTCCTTTATTTAGTTTTTAAAAGATAATATTTTAAGGAATAAAACAAACTAGACTAAAAATCGAAGTATGTAAGTCCTTAAAAGTTGTGGTAACCATATGGTTACCGAAAGCGGTAAAGGTTAAATTGTTTCCTTTTAGCCGAGAATTTTATTTTGATTGTATTTTTTCTAGCTTACATTATTATGTGTGCAATAGTTAATAGTAAGTACTTCAATATACAAATAAACTGAGGGTTTTAGTTTAGCCAGGTAGTACCTAGACATAAAATGCATTGAATATAGCAATACAATTAACTCATAGTTTCTATAAATGCATTTCAAAAACTAAAGTGAGTAACACAGTAAATTACAATAGTTATTTTAGTAATTAGTAAAAACTAAAGGGAGTAACGCTGTGAGAAACTTCGGACTTGCATATTTATATATATATATATATATATATATATATATATATATATATATATATATATATATATATATATATATATATATATATATATATATATATATATATATGTATATATACATATATATATATATATATATATATATATATTTATATATGTATATATATATATATGTGTATATATATATATACATATATACATATATATATATATATACATATATATATATAATATATATATATATATATATATATATATATACACATATATACATTTATACATATATATATATATATATATATATATATATATATATATATATATATATATATATATATATATATATATATATATATATGTATATATATATATATATATATACATATATATATATATATATATATATATATATATATATATATATATATATATATGTATATATATATATATATATATATATATATATATATATATATATATATACAAGGCATACGTGTGACACCCCCATTCCCCAAGCAATGATTTTCAGTCGGCAAATTGGAGCCTTAGTCGGCAAATTGGACCGTTTAGACTAGTTAGTGGGCAAATGTCGACCCTTTCGATACAAGTTAGTCGGTAATCTAGACAGTCGGCAAATGTCGTCAAGGCAGTCGGCAAATTTTGGAAAAATTTGCCGACGACTACCAAAATAAAACAAAAAAAATAACGTTTTATTTAAGTTTATAAGATATAACTAATTAAAGTAAATAATTGTCGACCAGGAGGTAATTCAACGTTGACGGTGGTAGCCCTCATTCCCAAAATCAAAAAGTATCAATGGATGATCCAATTGTTTTGCTATCAAACTGGCCAAGTCCAGGTCATTGAAATCATACAACATCAACACGACAAATTTCTAGCAACATCAATGAAGTTGTTACAGAAACAGCATATCAACATGTCAAATCGAATAAGATTTTTTGAAAACTCTAATCGGAGAAAAAAACACACAATATACTAACTTATGACTAAAATAGATCAACTAATTGTAGTTTATTTTCTGCCGCAAATTTAGCAATGAAAGGAATGGAGTTACAAATAATTGGTGATTTCAATCACCCTAAAATACAGTGGACAGAAGCTGGTGGCAGTACTAACAAAAATGCAACTATGTCGAGCACTGATTTTGTGGAATCTGTCAACAATGCAGCTCTTGGACAGCATATCAGAAAAACCTACTTTTGGCAATAACACTCTTGACCTGGTGCTAACTGGCTGCCTTTCCAGAATTATAAAACTTAATATTGGTCCATTTATTTGCATTTCAGTTAAAAATAGTTTTTATTGCACTCTTATATGAAGTTTCTTGTCTCAACCATCAATCTTACCAACTAGGGTGTTATTACAAACCAAACTAAACTATGGTAGAGGTGACTATAAAAACATAAACAACTTTTTACAGATGCAGAATGGAGTAAACAACTTGAAAACTTTAAGAGCAATCCCATTACGATAAACCATATCATTG